TACTTCAATGATAAAATAAGCAACAGTTTCATGATTAAGAGATTAAATCTTACAGAACAGTGATGAATAGCTGTAAGATTAAATCTTACAACTATTCAACTCTTTATATAACATTTTTTTACTCCTTAGGACACTTGTCCTTTACCAACATAAAGTAAAGTCAGAGTCCAAATACACTTCATGAAGGTCTCATACTTCATATTAGGTAATAATAAAAACGAGTTCTGATTGGTTAAAACTGACGTAATATGCGAATCATAGGGGAGAGCTTATAAGTAAGAATTAGGTTGAGTTGATCAAATAAAAAGAAGTTTCAATCAAGAAGGGCCTCAGATGTACAAATAGTTAGGTTATCTGGATTTATCAGCCCAAAATATCATTTTGCAGGTGCAACCAATATATTTTTTAAAAATTTAGTAGGGTTTTCTTTTTATTGAAAAAGCTTTATGATAAGCCAGTTTGGTAACATAATGTTTATTGATTTTTTTAGTGGTAAAATTGTCTCCATTTTAAAGCTGTGTAGAGATTGGCATAAAACGTAATTGCTTAATATTGAAGTTGGCAAGAAGCAAATTAAGATTTTATCATGTCACCCTTGAAGTAGCTTTCAATTTCCAATCAATGCATGTATCACATGCCAACACAATATTTGTCTTATTCAAAATACTTTGTTGATTTTCTAGGTGACCAAATTTTAGCAGACAGGGGATTCACCCTTGTTGATGACTTTGCTGTGGCATGCATTGCGGAACTTATCATTCCACAGTTCACAAAGGGAAAGAAACAGCTAGATGCAAAGTCAGTTGAAATAACAAGAAAGATTGCCAATGTCAGGATCCATGAGAGTGGGTTATAGGTCTCCTGAAGAATCGTAATGGGATTCTGTCCCAAGGACAACTGCCGTTAAACCTCATAAAATCAAAAAAAGAGGAAGTTTGAGGAGGAGTACCACACATTGAGAAATTAGTGACAGTCTGTTCAAGTTTAATTAATCTATCACCTGGTATTGTATACAAAGAAACATAATGAAAAAATATAGAAGTTTTGAAATTGTTAAATAGTTATTTCTTTTTCTTGCAGTCCTTAAGTACCATGCACCTTTTGGTGGTCGCTTAAGATTTGGCTTGATACATTTGAAGTGTATCCATTTGAATTTACATTGCGGATTATCACATCTAATCATGCTTTCGTTGCTCTCTGGTTGCTGGCAATAGCAAAAAACCTCCTTTTCTAATTCTTGCTGTCCTTCCATGAATGTTTCACTTTTTTCTAGTTTGCGCAAACTAGTTCATGCTAAACTACTTTTTGTGGTAATCGATCAAAAACTTCATAGAGTTTTTGAAGTCTTCCTTGTAAGAAGTTGTAAGTCCTTTGCAAAAATGAGGATCTCAAACAACAAAGTGACAAACCTTGATCCCATAGATTTGCATTTGCATTTGGACTTGAGTCTAGTATCTATGGCTACTTTTAAATTCTAAATCATTGTCCAGACAAAAAATGTTGTCATCAAGACACTGTATGATATTAGTTTTATTTTGGTGTGTGTATGGGCACTTCAATTAAAAAATCACCATGGCAGTCCTAATGACCAATGGCATCAGCTGAGGCCCCCAGAAAAGGATGCTCTTGATCCAGCATCAATCCACACCTTGATACCATTACATTTGTGTGAAGTGCTTTTTCTTGATACTTTTTGAGGGCCTTTGATTCACTCTCCTGTCCCCAAAGTACTGAAGGAACATAAAGCGGCTTGGACTTGCCACATATCTTCAATACCAGAGACTTTTCTGGCTTATCTATTTTCGAATGCAGGACGTCATGTACCAAAGAGGCAGTTATCCTTCCCACCCTGATTTCATGCTAAACCAGTGACTTGCTTTGGCTTCTTGTAGCAGACTCAATATGGTGAATATCTGCCTTGCTAAGTTTCTGGGCATAAAGATCTGCCCTTTTCTCCTCATATTTAAGCTCATCTTTGGTAAAGAAGCTCTTTAGTGATTTTGGCAAAATTGATCTTCTCTAACATTGGCTTTACGGTGGAATGTTGTAGAAAAGTTTTCAAAAATACTTAGTGCAACAGGTTGCTCCTTTGGTTCGAAGTTGTACAGTCTTTGTAAAAAAATCCTTCTGTTCATCCACTGTGAAAGGAGCATTCGAAGGGGCTTTTTCAACTGAGGCAGGGTTGTTTTTTTTTTTAAAAAAAGTGATCTCTTCTATAGGTGCTCTTTCTATCACTTTAACAAAGTCATTGTTCCTTTCAAATGGCTTTGAGGTGCAAGCTAAATAGGTATACCCCAGGCGCACAGCTGCTTCAACTTTAAACAGAACTCCACCAATGTGTGAGCACGAATCTCCAAGCCTAGTAAGGAAAATCAAATCAATGTGCATCTAAATTGCAGATGATAAAAAGGGCATATGATATAAAGGGCATATGATATAAAAATATTTATAGATTTTAGAAAGCTTTGGCCAGGGCTTACTGGAAGTTTCTTTTAAGGTATGGGCAATGAATATTCTGGCCTCTTGTTAAAGTAGCTTGCAACCAGTCATAAAAACATTAAGCCATAAAAACAGTGTTATGAATTTAGTAAGGACTGTATGCTTAGATGTTTGGTATTGAGAATAAGAACTTTGAAAAAAGTGCTACCTTTGGCTAGGCCTAACCAATTTGTTAGCGTTTGTATATAATTGAAAATTACTTTCAAGAAAAATAACGTTTACTAGGAAAAATAATGACTGTAAAATAGCTTTTATCATTGATTTTACTCACCCTGACATGCAGTTCCAATGTGCACAGAGTATGGTTCAATTGCCGAAGCTGCCACCCAAGGTTTCAGAAATTCTTCGTTTATCCTTTGCGAATGCATCACTTTCGCCTACAGAACACTTGTAGACTTCAATTTATAGATATAAACTGTGTGGACCCACCCAGATTTAAATTGATTAAAAGCTTCCAAGCCTTTCCTGGACTTCATAGTCTCTTTCGTGTACACTCCTTCAGTGAGAAAGAAGAGATCATCACCTTAAGCCTATGAATATTACAGATTGTCATAACAAAGACTATGTTGCTCAGATTTGTGGGAGGGGAATCGAATATAAGAAAGATTATCAATATGTTTTCTTACCAGGCGTATTTATGAGATAATCATAAATATTGGGGTATTCAATGTTAGGCCACTGTGTTGGATTGTTCAACCATGCATCTGCCGGCAAGCGATACTGACACTCTCTTAGATTAATTGCTTCCAATTTCTGCAAATATTGATTTCTTGCTTCTGCGTTCAAGCCGGTGATGTATTCATAAGCCATTGCCAATATTTGAATCGATGTAGATTCAAAACGCAGAAAACGAAGAAAAACGAGATGTATATACGATAACTGCAACGTATCAAAGGCTCGGGCCGCATTTGTTTTCAACCACCAATTTCTGTTGCTAAGGTAATGATGGTGATTGACATCACAGTGAAAAGGTCTATTGGAAGAACTGAAGAAGAAGTATTCACAATATCTGAAAGCAACAGATCAACTAACAAATTGATAGAACTGTGGATATCTATATGATTTAAGTGCACCATGTGAATGTGCATTTATCGCGATATCAAAATCAGGGACGACATTCTGTAGGTGACCAACTGATGACCTTGGCGAGGTGTGCATAACAATAAACGAGATGTTGAAACCTGACATCCCATGGGAAGAGCTGAGGAAATATTCACAACACTTAGAAAGGACTGATAACCTGGTCAATTGCTGTGACTACGGATATCTATATGATGGTAATGCTCAGTGCCATTGTTTCTTGCGTGATCTTGATAGATTGATAAACTGTTTCGATTGTGAGCTTCTACATGATACCAATGATCAGTGTGACTGTTACACACAATTCCTCAATAAGTGTGCAGAACAGGCGCTCAGAGTGAAAGTAAAGATACATTATAAAAATGGAACAATTAGTTGTAACTGTAAAATGGAATAAGCGGAAAAGTGAATCTACAAATAAGAAGAATAATAAAGGACAATGGAATAGTAAAAAAACTATTACTTCAAGAAGAAAAAAGCTTTCAGGCAAAGCGGCTGGGAATAAAGCAATTAATATAATTGGAAAAAACATTAATTAAAGGGGCTATAGTACCACGCTTGTTAATGAAACTAACAGGACAACTTAAAAAGGAGATACGCAATCATAAACGTTTAATTTGGCGAAAGTAAATGGGTGGAACAGCAGCAACAATAGCAATAGATAAAGGGTTTGATGTAGCATTCCATATGATGAGGAACTTGATAATGCCTTTAAAGTTATAGGTGGTGAAGGAGAGTATAAAAGAAAGAAGAGTGAATTTCCAAGGAGAAGGAATCTAAAATTTGATAAGATAGGTTCAACTTTGGCAAGAGCAGCAGCTAAACATGCTATTAGAAAGGGTTGAGGCAGGGAGGGAAAGCAATAGCACGAAATGTTACAAAAAAAGCTCTAAAACTGGTTGCAATTAAAGGAGCTAAATCACTTGCAAAGGGAGCAGCTGAAGCAGGAGCTGGAGTAGCAATAGATGCAGGAATTCAGAAAATTAGAGGGTCGGGGGAAAAGATAAAAGGAATGAAACCACTGCAGAAAAGAAGAAGAAAAAAACCTGTGAAACGAAAGACAACAAGAAAATCAAATAGTTGAAAGAAGCTGAAAATTCCCTGCACTCTAAAGTGAATGAATTTCGCGCAATGTTAAATATGTTTAAAGTCAAGATTATAGAAGTATTTCTATTTATCCTAAGATTATTAGCTAATATTAATCAATGCACATTTTTGAGAGGAAAGTGGAGATGTAGTAGGGGTACGAGGTGTTCCATGCCAAATAAAGGAAGCCTTTATTCGAAATGATCATGTGATATAGTTATAGATTAAT